AAAAGCAATGCAGCTTCACATATCACCAAGTTTAAGGCATGTTACTGTTCTGCCTGCTAAAGGTTTCAAGGAGTTCATTAAAGTTAAAGTTGGCTCCAAAAGATTATCTTATCGTATGGTGTTCTACTGCCTTCTGTTCCTTACATTCTTGCTCCGGTTTGTCTTCGTGTTAACAGCTATAGATACTATTGATGGAGAACGAAAATGTTCGACCTTAGGTACTTCTCTGTCTCTCTAGTTCTGTATACAGAATTTGGAACATGTTATGTTAAGTTCGTATTCTACTTAGTACTATCTCTTACAAACATATAGTAGAAGTAATGCTAAGTTCATCGCGTGGAATGTATGTGTTACAATGGAAAGAAATAGCAAACACATAGTAAGTTTAGAGAGTTAAATGATGATCAGAACAATGCTGCTCAATATTGCTCCTCCCTTTGTTAACTTTAATGAACAGAAAGGCCGAAATTTTTTCTGCAATTTGGATTCAGGTTGCTTGGGAAAAAAAATTGGACCAAGGATTTTGGGGAAACGTCTTGAATCAACTGTACGCTTCTGAGCCTTGTATCTTTTCCCTTGTGCATACTACTGTGATATTCGATATTTCCTTAATGATGTGCTTGTTTTAGTATCGAATATTGGAATTGTATAGTCTTGTTTCATATATTATTCTGCATTTGTTAGGTTCCCGAGGTGATATATCGAGTATTGGAGGAACCTTCAGACCAAACTGATACACAAACAAGGCCTGAATCTCCTCAAACATTAGAAGAGTTTGTTGCAGAAATGAAGGATGGAAGACCAGACGCGAAAACCTTTGCTGTCAAGCTTAAAGCTATGGTATATTTACTCTTATCATGCTTTCTACATCATATATAGGAATATATATGTAGTATAATTTAAAGTGGCACATTATGTCATAGGCAACAAACTTCTGTTGACAAAGAACTAGTAGTGAAAAAAAAGGCAATAAGATATCCATATTTAGGTACTCCAGGCCAGACGCGGATCCAGGATTTTAGGTTTATGAGTTCCTACAACGACCTCTGTTAATAACACAGTACTAACTGTTGTCAGAGTCAAATATTAATGGTTTATTGGTAATCTACTAAATATACATATAGAGAATTTGGGTAAAAGCTGTTGGGATCACGTAAACCTCCGTAAACAGGCCTTTGAAAACCTACAAGAAATCTTAGTTTAAACAGTTCCTCATAATGTTCCCTGTGTTCAGCTCAAGGCCTGATTTTTGTCTATTCTTTTTGCAGGTCACTCAGCTAGAAGAGAGGACTAGAACTGCCAAAATCCAAGAATATTTGTATCGTCATGTGGCATCTAGTAGCATCCCGAAACAGCTGCACTGCCTTGCTCTCAAGCTAGCACATGAGCATTCCACCAATTCCAATGCCCGTCTCCAGTTACCATCGCCTGAGCTTGTCCCCGCTCTTGTTGATAACTCATACTTCCATTTCGTCCTTGCCTCTGACAATATTCTTGCTGCTTCTGTCGTTGCATCATCACTCGTGCAAAATTTCATCCGGCCTGAAAAGATAGTCCTTCACATTATCACAGACAGGAAAACATACGCACCTATGCAAGCTTGGTTTTCGTTGCATCCTTTAACACCTGCTGTCATTGAGGTGAAAGGGTTGCATCATTTCGATTGGTTCACGAAGGGGAGAGTCCCGGTTATGGAAGCTATGGAGAAAGACCAACAAGCCAGGTCACAGTTCAGAGGAGGGTCATCAGCAATTGTAGCAAACAAAACTGAGAAACCTAAAATCATTGCAGCAAAATTACAAGCCCTCAGTCCCAAATATAACTCACTGATGAATCACATAAGGATACATTTGCCCGAGGTAAGCCCTGAACTCTACAACATACACAAACATGTAACATCCATATATCCGATCCCAACCATATATCTGATCCCAACTTGTTTTAGACTGAGACGTAGTAATTGTTGTTGTATAAATGCACGTGACATCCATATAGTGTTCGATTATACTGAGATGTAAGAATTTCTTTCCAGCTATTTCCCAGCCTAGATAAGATAGTATTCCTGGACGATGACATTGTTGTTCAAACGGATCTTTCACCTCTATGGGACATCGACATGAATGGAAAGGTGAACGGGGCAGTTGAGACGTGCACGGGAGAGGACAAGTATGTCATGTCAAAGCGATTCAAAAGCTATTTAAACTTTTCTCATCCATTGATAGCAGAACACTTCGATCCAAGTGAATGCGCGTGGGCCTATGGCATGAACATTTTCGATCTAGAAGAATGGAGGAAAACAAATATAAGTCACACATACTACTACTGGCTCCAACAGGTAAACTACAACTAACATAAAATAAAAAACTCTGTAAGTTCAAAAATATACCAAATTCGTTATCTGATACAACTTTTTATCCAGAACTTGAAATCAGACCTAAGTTTGTGGCAGCTAGGTACATTACCTCCTGGTCTAATCGCATTTCATGGACACGTACACACCATTGATCCCTTCTGGCACATGCTAGGACTCGGGTATCAAGACAATACAACCTTAGCAGAAGCTCAAAGTGCGGGCGTGATTCACTTCAATGGTCGAGCTAAACCTTGGCTCGATATAGCATTCCCACAACTTCGACCATTATGGACTAAATACGTTAACTTCTCTGATAAACTTATCAAAAGTTGTCATATTAGAGCGTCTTGAAATGAGAGGACGAAGTTAGAGGAGAGTTAACGCGAATGGGAAGGCCTCCAATTCCTGATGAGAAATGGCAATAGATCTGATCTTAACACACTGGAACTCTTCGCGATTACTTGAATTTCTTGTTCTCTGATGTATTTTGTTTTGCAGTTTAGATTCTACACAGTATTATCCATTCTTTCAACCAAAAATACTTATACAGATAGCATAAAAAGACGCTATATTTTCAAGTTTTACGCGTGATTTCCAGGTATGTCATGCAACATTTATTCGATAAATATGTGAAATCAAAAACTCAAATAAACTACAACCTACTTAGTACATATGTTAATGCTCCCTAGTTCTAATCAGTAAAATCATTCCTCTAATTATTTATAGGTAATTAAAACATAGTTCTTAATCAACAATCGTTATATCAAAATTTCATATATACATCGAAAAAATGGAACTATCAACTAAAATAACACTCGTTTTGAATCCTCTGACTCTGTTTCTCGTTCAAAAGCATGAACGAACCCTTTGATGATCTTGTTTCTTGCGATGCAAGTAAGATTTGACACCAAGTTTATAACCTGAGGACGATAAATTCGATCTTGGATTGAATTTCTTGCCACAACCAATGCACATAATGATCGTACCACTTGTAGTAACATAATATTTGCACCATCTGCAACATCTTGGACATTGTGCGTCTAACACGAGCACAATCGTCATGAGAACAGTAGTTACGATAAACAATTGATGTTTCACTAATTTTGTTATAATGCATTAAGTCAAGTTGTTGAATTCTAGTGTCACTTTCTTGTACTTCTTTCAATTTTCATATTTTTAGTTCTCCTTATAATTTTAAATAATTACAAATAGTCTCGTTAATTATTAACAATTTCTTACTCTCTTTGTTCGATATTAATTGTGCATATTGATTTGACATAAAATTGATAAATAAATAAATAATAAGAATGATATACTATATTACTCTTTGAATATATTAAATTTAATACTTTGGAAAATATATTAGATATTGAATATATTTAATAGCAATGATAAAACAGACTCAAAAGAGTAAATTATATCTTGACTTTTCAAACTGGACAAATATTCTTGGATAACTATTTTTAGTACAGTAGACAAGTATAAATGAATAGAGGGAGTATTAAATTTCAAATCAGAGATACACCTAGATTTATATATTTTTGCTATAAGATATACTCTCAAATACAAATAAATAGGGAGAGTGGCGAGTGAGAGAGGGGGAGATGTGAAGGGTGAGAGGCGAGAGAGACAGGAGGGAGGCGAGCGAGAGAGTCGGTGTATCCCAGATACATGTGAATCACACTAGATATATACCAGATACATTTTGAAACATAGATACATAAGAAAATAGGCGAGCGAGATGAGAGAAACGCTAACAAAAGAGTCAATGTATTCTAGATAAATACAAATCCACTTAGATACAATATCTTTAACAATGTTAATTAAGGATTGAAGTTTCAAAAGAAATATATTAATGCTCCCTCTTTATTTCTCTAATTATATTTAGGTAATTGAAACATTGTACTTACTTCTTACCGTTGTGAGATTTATGTAAATTATACTTAAAAACTAATTCGGTGTCTCTTAGTCCCTGCCTAGTAATGTTCTTCATTCAAAACTTTGAGATTCTCTTATAAACTTTTCCTTCATCTTTATAATTTATATTTAAAATGATTTTTAATGTGTATTAATTTTAGAAAATTATACTGCTAATTAATTTGTGTCGCTTTTTTTTTTTTTGTGTAATGTGTTTTAATCTCTGAAAAATTACATTACCAATTAATTATTATGCCTCTTCATATTGTTTCGTTTATTCCTTTTTCTTTTCATCTCGTGCTTCAGATTTAATTAGCATAAATGGTGTATCAAATTGAAAAACATCAAACAAACATAGATAATTACATAAACAAGAAAAAATAAGTGTTCCTTCTGAATTCACTGTTTAGCAAATTAATACATAGAAAACCTGAGTATGAAAATATGTCCTAACAACATCAAATTCCACATTATTACATATACAAGACGACAAACTAAAACTTCTACTAAAATTACACTCGTTTTGAATCCTCTGACTATGTTTCTCGTTCAAAGCATCAACGAACTGCTAGAGAAAAGACAATCGAATTTCTTGCCACATCCATGTATTACAAGTCACTAGAAACGTTTAAAAGATCTATGAAAAACTTACGGTAAAAAAATAGACTTGTTTGAGTTTCGAAATTCGAAAAGTGTCATATAAAATGAAACGAAACGAAGGAAGCAATTCTTATTAATTCTTATAAGTTGGGTAGTATTTAGCTAATGGAACCGAGAAAATGTAGATACAGTTTATAGTTAAATTTATTTAATTTTACACAAAGCAAACATTAAACCGTTGCCAGTTTCAAAGTCACAACTTATCTATCATCAGCCAAATGCAGTAAGGGGAGTTGAGCCAAAACTAATACAACCGGAGGACATTGACTAGACGATTAATTTAAGGTACAGTGAAGGCAACCTTTGTAGGCATTAAGCTGCGACAAGTTAAGCAACTGGAGGACGGAGGACGTGGTCCTGTGAAGTATCAACAGCAGCAGGAGGCATGAATTGCCACATCGCGACACCAGGGTAACTCATGATTGGCACCAGCTTGCTTCCTGGAAATTGACCATGAGCAGCAAATGCAGAAGGTATAGCAGGAGGCAAGTAACTAGGCTGTGCACTTGTAGTCTTTAGTTGTTGCTCTAGCTTCTCCTTTTCAGCTTTCAGCCTGTGTTTTTCATCTCGAAGCTCGGTTTTCTCAACCTACACAAGTTAACACATGCTTGAAGTTCAGGAGCAGAAGAGTGAAGTGATGTTCTAGCTTGTCTTGTCACCATTACAAAATGGAAAAGCCTTGGTACCATTAAACAAATGGAATGACAGATGCAAGATTAAGAAAAAGTCAACTTTCTATTAGGAGCATTGCGAGGGAATTAATACTAGCCTTTAACTCCTTGATCTTTTCTTGCAGATTCAAGTTTGAGTCTTTCAACTTTTGAGCTTCATCACGTAACTGGGTCACCAAGCGAACAGCATCAACAAGAATAGCGGATTTGTCTGTTTTAGGGGGTCTTCCAGGCTCAAGGAGTGCACCCAATTCCATGAACCTGATAAGTAGATCAATTTTAGCAATTAAGGATGAAATAAATGGAGAAGTTTTTATGAAATGGGTTGTGAGATCACTTGTCATTCAGCCTATCTCTTCGCAGTTTCTCTCTGCAAGCTTTGGAACTTGTTGGAGCACATGATTCAACCCTTGCCCTGTAACAATTACCTAAATGGTGAGAGAAAATAGTAAACAGATATAGGTCAAGACATCTGACTTTCCTTTCAACAGTAAAATTGAGGCCCCGGAGCTAAAAGGAATACTTCAACCAACAAATTCGTTCAACTTGCATTGTAATTATAGGATTAGGAATATATCAGTGGGACTTCGTGAAACATGTTAAATCACACAATGTTGAAGCGTTTATGAACTTGAAGAATGCCAGGGCATAGTGAATTCTTTCGAATAGAGACTTAAGAATATGTCTTGAATTATGCAGGCTTTTAAATCAAGAACATATAAATCGGTTTAATGGATTCTACATTCTCAAATCTTGCCAGTTAGAAGCAGAATACAACAGATTTTTCAAGATGATGAATCACAGAATAAAAAAGGATTTAAAAAAACTCAAAACTTAGAAAGAGAGTGGGAAATGTGTCACCTCACAGATTTAAATAATAATTATATGAAACAGAAGCTAATCAAATTAAACTACATTTAACAATTGAGGGCAGCACCACATCTTTATTCAACATCAATGATGGAGATCAGCACAAATGTTCAGAAAAGGCAAAAATTCTTACCGTTTCTTAGAACCACTTTCCTTGGGGTAATCTGATTCACCAATTGACCCATCGATTTCAGAACTAGAAACAAGCACAAAAAAGAAGGAAAAACCAAAGTCAAAAAACAATAGAAAGAAGATATCCTTTGATTGCTAACATGAAATAGAAGAACTAGGCACATGAAAGAATGGAAATTATGTTTATGGAAACCCTACTTACCCCTACTGTTCTATTTTTCCAGCCAACATATCCAGCTTACGATGAAAAGTTTTAGTCATTCAACTGGATACAAGACACGATGACCCCCCCCCCCCCAAACACACACAAAGCATGCTAAGTTTAGCAAAGATAACAACATTTTTGTATTTCATGCTTAATTAACAATTCTAGTAATTTTAGGAAAATGCATACAGGCAACACCAACTAGTCTAGGCCACAACCTTGGACGCTTGTGTTTAAAAACCTATTATTGACTATTGTAATAAGATGGGTCAAAACAGATCAGTATTAATATAGAGGATTATTAGCTGACCCAACTAGTAAGAGACTTGAGGTATAATTGTTCTTGTGGTGATTCTAGAAGCAGCAGCACTAATTGGTATTCTCCTTTACCATCTCCTCGCTATTTAGCTTCCTCCTCTATTCTTCCTTCTTTTTTTCAGTCTATCTTCCAATATCCACACACATCTTTTTTCTTATCTTCCTCCTCCATATCAGTTCCTCTTTCTACTCTACACCCTGCTTTCCCCCCTTTCTGTTCTCAATAAGTTAAGAAGTAATATCTTTCTCTATTAACTGTCAAGATTCTGCACATTAGACCAAGCTTTTCCAGTTTTCTACTTCCAAAAACGATGTTTAACGATATATTCTTCATTCCTTTATAACCTTGTTATCATGTCTGCGCTAATATCTGTTTACCTCTTTATGCACACTGGATGCTCTGACCTAAGTATTTTCCTATCCTCCATCCTCAGTACATCCTCCTTTGTATTGTTTCTTATCCAATCTCTGCCACTACTACCAGGTTCTGATGATGCACATCAGTAGGCTAAATGCAAGTTTCCAATGAAAAGTTGGTAGCATGCGAGGGAAGACAGTAAAATATGCAGCGACATTATATCTTCAACCTGCTCCTCCACTAAAGGCAACTTATACTAGGTTGCACTCAAGACCATTAACTTTCTATCTCTATAACTTGGATAAAGAGAAAACTTCCAGTAATTTGATACTTAAAAGCATTTGCCTCCGTTCTATAGTTGAAATCGAGACTCTAAAATAAACATACAGGACTAAAGTTCTACAAGATACTATTTTCCGTCGTATATAGTTCTACATTTAAACTATATTTTCTGTGAAGGTAGATATCCAACTCCATCACTTCTAGAAGTTGTAATTTTTCATCTGGCAAATGAAAAAAAAATGTTTCCAATCCTTAACTTAGACACAAGTAATACAGTGGCATCAAATCACAATAAGAGAAAGTAGAGCTAGATGGATACAACTCTAAATACACACAAATAATAACAGAAATCGTGCCAAATTAAACTTTCTTTGGGCTCAAATCAACTCCAAATGTACATAAAAAGACCTTAAAGTTGTAAACTTCACAGCATATAGAGGGAAAAAAAAGTTGTTCCCTAAATAACAGATACATCACAGATTCATAAATCAGCTAAAAGATCCGAACTTCACCGAGTCACAAAAAATTAAGAACTTAACATACCTAACATTCCTTGAACCATTCAAATTCTGCACAGACCAGTTAAACCCAGATGCAGAAGCTGAGAAATTCGAATCAGGGACGCAACTATCTTCGAATCCGTAATCATAAAGCCAATTGGTACTCTCCGGTGAAACCATCTCCGATCAGTCGCCGGCCAGAAGATGAAAAAAATAATTCTCCCGGTAAATTCTCCAATGAGGGTTTCCAATTGCTGTTTGAATCGGAAAATGTATTTGGGTAAAATTCATAATTTTTTCTTTCATATTGGCATTTTTTTTATAAATTAAAATTAAAAAAAACTAATGGGCTTCCACGATGTCGGCACATGATTGGGCTTTATGCTTTGGGCCTGTCATTGTCTTGACGAAAACTTTGATAATGACTGATTAACAACTTACACAAAGGGCTAAAATGGAAAAATTACATTGAATTAGTATATTTTAATAAATAATTATTGATTTTAGCGATATTTTTTGTTTATTATAATTTATAGCAATATTATGTTAAATCTGTAATATGTATTAAAAGTGAATTATGTATGCAATATGTATGAATTATAATTTTTTTGAAAATATATATGTTTATTTGGTAAAAGTGCGACACATTATATTATAAGTGTATTAAAATGTGTGATAAATGTATTATTCATTATTAAAACTTATGTTATATGTGAATAATAAATTGTTCTTTGTAATATATATTAAACTTGTATTATAAATGAATCGAAAGTGATCAAGTGGAAAAAATATGTTATTACTATAAATGGTAAATATTTTTTTGTTATAGTATATATATGTAAGTTTCCTGATAAAAAAAGGAAAGTGCTTGTACACCCGATTTTCGTGTCACGTTTAAGTTATGTGATAAGTTTATTAATTTTTGTATGTCTATTCATTTTAGAATACTAATATCTAAAGTTTCGATACTTTTTTGTGAGATTCAATTTTAATTTCTTTCTTCGATTCTAATATGTTTTTCTTTTAAGTTCATGCACATAAAACTGAACCAAATTATTTTTACCAAAAGTTAAGTCGTATGAAACTATAAACATCAGATATCTAATGTTTGTTAGAGAACTATGAATGGATTATACACTTTTTAAAAAGCGAAATATATATTAAATAACGATGTCCAAATAAAATACTTGTCTAGTTTATGAGTGAAGTAAAGGTTTTATAATGAAGATAGAACCTATGCTTAGTTGTAATTCTGTGATTGGTTAATAAAATCTTCTATAAGAAGAAAAGGATTGAAAATAAGTGGCCCAAAATGCCCTTATGTAGTATCTCTATCATAAAATGTCCAAAATCTAGGAGATGATGTAGACCATAGTAATCTACTAGTACATAAATTGGGAAGAAGTATATAAATAAATTTAACTTTTGGGAATTTTTCAATTAAAAGTAGGGGTTCTATTTTAATAATTTTTTATATTATAGTATTTATTTCATTGAAAAATGCAAGTGAAGTTAATTTTTTTAATAAATCGGAGTAATATAACTGATAAATGACATTGAGCTCCCAAAAATTGTTGAGCTTGAGTGATTTATCATTAAGTTAAACCATATTATAGTGTACACATTATAAAAACTTGGATAAATTGCAGTCATACAAGTTGTGATTAGCCACTAAACAAGAATAATTGAGTACTTTTTTCCTACTATATATGATAAGCTTTTGTATGATGATGATATCATATTATTCCTCTTGTGGTATATAAACTATAAAAATAATAATAGTAATAATTAGTTAGGTAGGATCCAATTGGATGTTAGAAGTAATGTTATATGATTAAGATAACTTTTTCCATATGGACGATAATTTAGTTCTAAATAATTATGAATATAAGACAGATCACTTATGATGAAATTAATAGATACGTTATTTTTATGATGAAATTAATAGATACATTATTCTTAGTTATCCATACTAATGCTTATGTAATGTGGAGTACAACGTCAGGATCAACTTAGTAGATTGAATAAAATAATATTTGGTTAGTATTATAATATATGATTGCTATTAGGTAAATTGCAATGCCAGTAAAGCATACATTTGATTAATGAAATATGCTGTTTCTGTGGCAGAACAAACTTTTCAATAATTTGTCGCTCCGAATAATAAAATATTTTTTTACCACATTTGAGATGTAAAAAAAAATATTCGATACAAGTATTAATGATTAATTCTAGTACTAGGGAAAATCAGAACATACATTTAAAATTATAATTTTGTTTTGCCTTGAGAATAATTATGGATAAAGAAGTGAAATTTAATAAGTGAGTCCAAATTTTACGATATCCATCTATCTTCTTCCTCGAATATAGTGTTACTTGTCGTTTTAATCCGATTCTACAATGCGTTCCTCGGAACGAGAAAGTGGAACTACTTGACATTGCTTATTACAACAAATTAAAACTCGATTCGCATCATTATATTCGATGAAAAGAATAATAGGTAAAAGCCCATTTGTAATTTCCATCACAGGCCCATGCATTAATGGATAATGTCCAGCAATAAGCCCATTTGTCATACAATTATGATATATAGACATAAAAACAAGGACCACGTCTCAGTTCAAAACAAGTCGGATCAACTACATGATCTACAACGTAAGAACAAACGTTTCATCAAATGAACTTTGGACTAAAAAAAACATGTAATATAAAGTTACAACAAAAGGAGATTTAAGTTGTAAAAATGGAAAGTTACAACACTCGGGTAACTTCGTGAAAGAACATCAGAAGATAAATGTTTCAAAGGGAAAGGCCCTTTGCTGTTACAGATACATAAGGCAGTATTCATCTCTCTCCACACTATACAAATCGAAGGTGGATTCGGTTAGAAGGTGTGTTTTACTTCTGTTAAAATCATATGCCAATCATATAGAATAATACAGACCACACGCGGTTTCCTAAAACTAGAACGAGTGTTCTATAAACACAAAAAATGAAAAATTAGCCAATGCTCAATCGAGAATCTGATGAACGCATGCTTGTTTGACGTCTTGGAATACCAATCTCACACGCATTAACCCTTGCTGCAAATCGCAGTGAACATAGGGACTCACCAGTAGAAGAAGGATCTGGAGCTACATTGACAAACATCAACGTCTTCGAATCACCACCTAGACAAGGCTGATTAAACATGCAACAGTCAGAAACAAAGGTACCCAACAATCTGCATTACTACCATTGGACATGACATCTCAAAATAACTTCATAACAACCAACTCAGCTTTTGGAAACAGATACAACAGTCACAATTTTTTTCTATCTTTCGTTTAGTTAGATCAAAAGCATACTAATTCAACACATCTTAGGACTCAAAATAAGATAAAGAGCCAATCCTTGTTTTTAAATTTGAGTAAAAGCAAATTTTACCTGGAGAAGGTATGTAAGCTTTGAGTTTCTAAATGGTACATGCTCCTCTTTCTTTGCAAGCGCAAATATAACATCACTTAAAGAGGATAAACTCTTGTTGATAGCCTAAATGAAAGTCAGAAATAGGCTTAGCATAAATTTCTAAAAATAGGAAGCTTTTTTAAGAGAATGAATAACTCAAATAACCTGAGTTTCCTTCAACCGATCTCCAGTAGACCCACTCTTAGATAGACGCTCACTGCCAGCAAGATCAATCAAATTGAGTACGCCTTGTACTTGTTGTTCAGTGCTCTACATACATAGACATGAAACTATTAGTCCATTCAAAAATCTAGTTCTGAAATAGACGATCCAAATGGCGTGCTACATACAATATTCTCACCTCATTAACACCCGAAATTCTTAAAGTGAAAACAAAATGACTTCTTGAAGAATTTTCATTCATCTGAGTCTTGCCGACAGACCTGCATGCATAATTCAGTAAGATAAAAATTTCTAAATTAAAATCTTTTTGCGTTCCACCAAATAAAGCAACCAAGAAGCATTAAATGAAATAAGTTCCTCACAAAATCATCCTATTTTCGTACTAAATTAAGAAAAGAAATGCTGTGGAAAAAAGAGAAGCTGTAATTTTGTACCTGCTTTGTGCAGCACGCCTTAGAAGAGAAGAGACCTTGCTACTACTTTGAACATCTACAACTGTCAGATCTGAGACATGGGTGTGGCCATTTGCATCATGTTTGATTGTATATTGCTTTCCGCCATTTTCGGGTCTTGAAGCATCGAAACCTGACAAAAGGTCCCGAATAGTCTCGTTGTATATTTCAAGCATTGACACCTAAAGATAATGTGGAAAACCAATGTCAGAAAAGACAAACAAATAGAAGAGAAACAGACTAATTACTGATCAAGAAGAGTTACAATTTCTCACCTGCATTTCATATTTCCACCCTTGTGCTTGAAGAGACTGCCGGGTCTCAAATACCTGTTCTAAAGTGCGGGGTATTAGTCCTTTATTCTCTGCACTTTCTGGGTTGCCCATCATTGTATGTGTCTTGCCAGAACCAGTTTGTCCATAAGCAAATATGCAAACCTGAAAAAATAGATGAGAATCAGCTATGGATGAGGCTTTTTTAGTTTATAAATTGAACGATTTGACATATCAAAAGAAAAACGAATACAACGGCATTTGTCTGGACATAGAGTATTAAGAAAGAAAGAAAGCCTTTGACACATACCAAAAGTATCCTTGGAACTTAAGACCTTAGACATACTATGACATTTCTATGGTCTTAAGAGCATTTCATTGAGAGTAACATTTGCTTTTCCTTACTAACGCGAGACTACTGACTTGCATTCATAGACAAAGTTTAAAAATATATCACCTGATAACTATCACACGACAGCAAACATCAATTGTTTTTCTTTATTAACACGAGACTTGCAGAGAATGAGTAACTCAAATAACCATCAAGAGCACTCTGTACAAATGTTTAAAAATACATCACCTTATAACCATCAAGAGCACTCTGTACAAGCTGGGATATCTCAACAAAAACATCTTCTTGTGAAGCCTCGGGCGTGAAAACTTTGTCAAACGTGAAGGAATGCTTTTGTCCTTGGTAATAGAAATATTAAATCAATGTTAACAGATAACCATCAAGAGCACTCTACAGAAATACAAATAACATCTGGTTAAATGTGATAGAAACAACACATACTCACCATTTTGTGCCAAGTCAATGCCTCTCCCTTGTGCTTCCATTGAAGATGGAAAAGAGACGACATTTGCTTCTGCACCAACACCATCTTCAGATAATAAAGGTCTCACTCTACAGAAAACCCGTATGTTGCCTTTCAATTCCTGTATAAGAAACATTCTTAAGTTTACAGTGCACTTTGAAGA